GTACTCCAAACTGGGTGCATTGTTCCTAGCGGTTAACCACCACGTGGTTTCGCCCTTTGACAAACTGAACAAGAACGCGTGTAGCGTAACACATCCCGTTTCATGCATGGCCAAGTGACTTTACAACACAGCTTCTCGAAAGGTTTCTGCTCTGAACAGTGACCAGTTAAAGCACTGTCGTGGTAGTACGCTATGAAGGATTTGCGAAGTTTTTCGAGGAATAACAACTCCAAATGGCGATTCTGCATTACCACCGTCAACCTGGGGAAAATACCGGAACAAGAGACCTCCTTCTCCAAGCAGGTAGCAGTCCGTCTCCCCGTCGCTTCATGTGTCAACTGGATCACGATACGCGAGATTTTTCGACACTTTACGATAGAGGCCATCACTACGCTGCAAGAAGCTTCTGCAGTCACCGAAGTACTACCACGAGAAGGCATCATTTCCGATAGTGTCGAGGCCACACACACACACACGGTTTCCGGCTCGACTTGGTGCTCAATAGACAACTGAGCCCACGGTGATTTAGTGGCTAACGTTGAATTTCAATGGCAGATCCAGACCAAATTTGTCTGCTCTGAGCGGAGCACTCACATTCCAATGGCGGATTGCGGAGCGTGAATTGTGTGTTCCAATGGCAGATTGAGAGCAACCGCAGATAGCGGATGGCTCCGTGGAGCAAGAATTCTCGCTCCACCGAAAAATCGGCGGATTCGACCGGAAGTTCAAGTGACGTAATCTGTGCGCCCGCCTTTCATCCAATCACCGATGGTTGTCCAGAAAACGCTTCGCACTCCCTCGCACCCTCTCGTGCTACCTCGCTAGATTTCGGCTCAGCGAGAGCTCCCATCGAGACGCGCGCGTTCCAGTCGCAGATTTGGCGAGAGCATGCATGCCGCTCGGATCTGCGCGCTCCATTCGCAATCCGGCCCAGCGCTCGCGATCTGCCATTGGAATTGAACACGTGGTACTCGGCTGCCGACCCGCAGGCCGCGGGATCAAATCCCGGCTGCGGCGGCTGCATTTTCGGTGGAGGCGAAAATGCTGCAGGCCCGTGTGCTCAGGTTTGGGTGTACGTTAAAGAACCACAGGTGGTCGAAATTTCCGGAGCCCTCCACTACGGCGTCTCTCATAATATTATGGTGGTTTCGGGACGTTAAACCCCACATATCAATCAATCAATCAATCAATCAACAAAATATGGAAAACAGAACATGAAAGGGAAAGAGGCGGAAAAAAAGAGAAAACCGGAGATGAACAAGCAAGGCTGAGCACAATTAGGGCGAAATTGCCTGAACTTTTTTTTTTTCATAAGTCCGTATTTTTTTTTTCGTAAGTCCGTATTCAGTTCATGCCTGTTATGCGTTTTCCTTCCTTTTGTTTTTTTCATTCGTGCCTGAAACATATTTAACGCCAGCTTGAAGACACCTTATTTCTTTATCTTGCCTCTTGTCATCGTGTGCTGCACGTAATGTGATTGACACGGAAGAACAGCGTGTTCCGTGTCGTTGTCGTCCTTGCTCAACTCAAAGAGGAGCTCGAGTTACAAGCAATCACGAAAAATACGCAACGGCCAAACTATTAAAAAACATTAAATTTTATTGATTCGGTCACGAGAATTTGCGAGGCACATGCGAAAACAACAACAACGCATATTCCACAACTAAGACACATCTACTTACAACAGTGGCGCCATACCATGGAGGACGGCGAAAACGCTCGTATTACAACAGACACAGTGCTGCTTACTGCAGCAATAACATGTAAGTTTACATTGCAGCAGATTTGTTAGCACGAGGATTTCCGAGTACGTCTTCGCAAAGTTGCGCACAACACAATATGCAGAGCAAAAAAAAAAAAAAAAAACCCGTCGGCTCCATGTATTGCTTAATGTGCGACATAATCCGAGCATTTGACATAATTCGAGTGGAGTGATGACACCCAGGAGAGCAAAAAGTCACACGGTACATTTGCCTCAGACGGAAGCCGTAAGCGAATGGCATATCTCCTTTTCTTTTCGATTGATTGTATTGACTCACCCCCCCCCCCCCTTTATGGGGGGGGGGGGCGAGAAGTTTCTTCACAGCACTCCCCTCTTTCTATTCTGTGAACGTGTGGGGCTGACTTGGTGCCCCCCCCCCCTCCGAGTCACAGTGCCCCCTCTCTAATGTCAACGTGTGAGAGAGAAAGCTTGCCCCTCTTTCACCCCCCCCTCCCCATGCGCACTTCTTTGTCTCCAACGTAATGCTATGTGCGCATATAACGCAGTAATGCAGGTATCGGAGGCACTAGATTTTTTTACGCACCTCCTGTTGAAGTCTTGCGGTGCTTCCATTCCGATTGGCTCACCTTTGACAAAGCGACGATGTCCAGTGACGACGACATCACGTAATGTCACGTTCTGAGACGTCATAAGGTGACGTCATCACGTAATTTTTTTCGCGACTAGCGTTGACGCCGACGGTCAATTTTCGAATTTAATTAGGCATACGAGACTTTTGCCTTAATTAAGCATCGGTCTGCTAACACGAGTCATGAGAAGCCCCGTGTTAGTAATTTCGGCACGGGCGAGGGCCCTTAGGGATTGTTTCGGAACGCTAGAGATAATAACGACTGTTACAGGTGGTCCAAATTTCCGGAGCCCTCCACTACGGCGTCTCTCATAAGCAAATGGTATACTTTTGGGACGTTAAACCCCACAAATCAATCAATCATGCAGTAGTATTAGTAAATTATCCGTACACAATACCAAAAACACCTGCACACTCCCGACATGGTAAGGTTGATAAACCAGAAAAGAACGAAAACCAAAAATACATGTCGCACTGTGCACTGTTTTGGAAGTCGCACACAAATCTGCCGTGACGTCATAGATTTCGACGGCGTCTATGTGGTTGCCAACGCAGTTCTTCATAGGTACAAACGAAGTACATTACCCTCTAGACGGGCGACATAAACGTATACCACATCAACTCGCAGGAGATTTCGTTCAGCTACCTCTCTCCAGTCATAACTATAGGTATGACTGGAGAGATACTTATTACACGTCTACAGACGTGTAATGAGCGTAGCAGCTGTCACAGCCATTTCTTACATCGTCGTCATTTTGTTATGTCTTCCGTTTAAACAGCAAAAAGTAAAAAAACAGCACAAAACAAACGGGACGAACACAGAAACACACGCGACGAGCGCTGTCTTGTGTGTTTCCTATCTCTGTTTGCTTCCGCCTTGCTTCTGATTCGTTTCATACATCACGGGCGTCGCTATTGAGGCGAGCGAGACTTGTAACAGTAAACGCATTTCGCACCAAGTTCAGCGACATTATCATCCATGCATTCTTTTTTTTTAGGCTGAGTAACAGGCGAGGATATCCAATGCCTTAGAAATAAACGACCCCATTATTACGGTTATAAAGTTGTTATGAGTTTGTGTGTGTTTGTGTGTGTTTATTTGTGTGTGTCTTTAAACATAGAGTTTCTCAAAATTAACTAGAGGGCACTCTGGCGCTTAGATCGTTGAGCGACCATGGGAATGATGGGTAGTACACACATTTGCCTAGTCTTCGTACTTGCAGGCGGCGAATCGTATTTGCGGCTTCGTTTATTGCTGGTTACGGTTTTGTTTTGAAAGAAAGAAGGAACCCTTTTGAACTTAGGGACTTGATTCGAAATGGTAAGCCTAAATGAATAAGGTTGTGAAGCGCAAACGGTGAACATTTGCTAATTTATGTTTTCGTGAAAAAACAGCTCCAAGCCACACGAACACACACGGAGCCAAAAGCAGGCCAGAAGTACTAATATTAGACAAATGTGTGTACTACCCATCATTCCCATGCTCGCTGAAGCGCCGTGCGTTGTAGCTCCCATAGACACTAGCGCTAGAGTTCCCTTTAGTAAGTATTGTGGGAAACTCTATGTGTTTAAAGCTACAGCACGTCGCGACGCCTCTCGTGCACGACTCGCGAGGACATTCGCTACGACCACCGCGACTACAACGAAGGCCGAGCGCTATGCGCGTAATCTTATACACATCTCGCAGACCGAACTTCTCGCGTAACTTCACACAGCGTTGCAGCTGATTACGGTGTATACTGCATTACACCTGACGTACGAAACGTAGCACACGCCTGCGGCGTTGAATACGCAAACGCGCCCACGCCGTCTCCCGACACAGTGCGATAACCGAGTCACTCGGTGGGCGGTACTGATACACCCCCCAATCAAGTACCGCTTATGGTGATATATATATATATATATATATATATATATATATATATATATATATATATATATATATATATATATATATATATATATATATATATATATAGCCAGGAAACCCGACACTTTTTCTCTCGTGTCCTGGATATAGCCAGCGTTTCACCAGTACCCGATGAAGAGTGTAGTACTTCACTGAGAGTAATATAATAGCTCTAACCTCTTAATAGCATGACAACAGGATAGCGTCATTTTTCCCCCGAGTCCTACCGTGATGAACCAGTTTGGTCAATTCAAGTAAAACGCACCTTATAGATGGCGCACTGCCACTCACTGTCCGCGACGAACATCATAAGCGCGCGCACAGTAAAAGAGGGAGTATACCCCCCCCCCCCCCCCCCCCAAAAAAAAAAAAGCAATCATCTGCAGGGGGGCACAAATTCTTTACTTTTATCCACGACGCAATAGGACCTTTCACTTCAATCTCTAACGTCAAGCGTTGTGGCCACACGTTTTTTTGACGATAATGGCGGACAACGCCCCTTATTTTCGAAGCATTTTGGAAGCCTATCCCCGAAGAACCTCGGGCCAACGGTAGGTTGCTGTGACAAGTACTTTAGTTTTTGGATTCATTCAGGACCTTGTTTTCAATCAGACTCGAACGGGGGGGGGGGGGAAGGCACCTCCCCCTCATTCTCCTAATTCTGTGCACACCTAGCACCACTTGCAGAGGGGCCGTGTTGATGCGTGTGCTTTTTTTTTTTAATTATGCATAGGAACCTACAGCACCGAGTGATCCGTAAAGATATCGACCTCGGCCTCAAAACCAACTGGGGAGACCGCGCCGGAACCAGTTGTTCCAGATGTTCGTCAGGTCGGGAAAGACGACGTTGATCCGGGACCGTCGTGTAGTCGTCGTCGGGTTTGTCGTCGTAGTGACGACGGTGCTCCGGGGCGCCCTCTTTGTCGAGGCCCCGGGGCTGCCACCACCTTCTTGGGCCGCCGGACGCGCCACGCACGACCCCTCGCGGCAATACTGCGCGCCAAAGGAAGATTGTGTTTTTTGAGCGTAATAAAACGGTTTTTTTTTTTGCTAGTTGGTTATTCGATTCTGAAGAAACATATCGTAGTGCAAAACGGCACAAGGACAGACATGTACAAGGGATCGGTGCGGACTCCCAACTGTTGCTTGGTGATTACATAACTCAAACCTCAATATAACAAATCCGGATATAACGAAATATCGGTTATAACGAAGACACTTAAAACTACTCTTGCAATGGACACAGTTTTACGAATACGCCTTTATAACAAATTTTCGGATATAACGAACTTATTTTCGGCTAAGATGAAACTTTGTTATAATGAATTTGAGTGCATTACTTCGAGAAAACACCACTTCTGAAGAGGAGATCCCTGTTTGTCGTGTCTTCTTGACTAAAAAGTGTTCTTGCTCAAAATACATTCACGTTAAGTGCGCCAGGGGTTTCACATCCAATTGGGAGGAATCGGTCAAGCATTTTAATGAAAAAAAAAGGGGGGGGACACACCATACCTAGAGATGAAATGCATGAGGGCCTATCGGCTTAGACGCTGTTCACGCCATCGAGCCAGTTTCTAATTGAAGCTGGGCTGGCATTATTGTATCCACTAATCTTTCTTTTGTGTGTGTGAGACTTCAAGCACAACCTGTTTCGACAACTAATTTTTTTCAAGTGACTAATAAAATGAACTGTTCCAGTCTTACTCTGTCTCTGACAATGACTCCAGGTATTCTACAGAAGCTACATGCAGGTGCACAGAACTTATGATTTCTCAATTGATTAGCTACTTGCTTATCGCTTGAACACCTGGCGGGAGGAGAAAACTGCGCTCTTATTTCTGTATTAAATAACACCTTTCATAGAATACTTCTTTTCTAGCTTTTGGCTACAAATCTGGCTACTTTGCCTATATTTAACTCGAGTTCTAGATACTTTTCGAATCTTTATATACTCAACGGCCACCCTGATCGGTCTCTTTACTACCAGAGCTCATCACCACAACCACCGTACCTAATCTGGATTGCGCGGTTGCATACCTTGCCTTTAGCACATGAGGTACCGTCCAGGGCCGGATGAGCGGGGCTGGCCCAGGAACCCTCAAGACACCACAGTTCACGGCACACGTTCTGCGCAGAGTAAAAACAAACGCGGGGTCACACGCGGGTTACAAATTTCTGCAGTCTGGGACAAAGGTGTCAAGTGCCCATTTGCGAGTAAGCTAAGTTTTCGCTTAGCTCAAAAATGTATAGCATGCGATTGAAAGTTTTAGCCGGAAGTTTCAGCGGGCGTCACCACTTATATGCCAAACGCCACGATTGGTTGGAAATTCATCTTGCGAACGACTATAGCAAATCGTTCCTTGTGAGTCGATCGCTGAAAAGATCATAAACGGGTATTTGCCACATAAATTGGGTAAACCCCACTTCTCACTACTGCAGGCCCACTAAAAAAGAAAAAAAAAGCAACATAATCGGCGGCGTAGTCAGTAATGCTCCCGCCGAAATAAAACCGAGATCACGTGACGCGGCCTCGCTAAGGTATAATGTAATGCGAGCCATGTGACTTCTCAGAAAATCCCGTGGTATACGTTCCCGCTAAAAAAGTGCCACCGCTGCTAATGCGGCGCATCTGAAAGTGTAGTTACTGGTCATGCGACACATTCCCGCCTAAAATAATTACGTGGTCTACCGCACCCTCTTACTGGTATTCCGCCTCCGACACGTCACCTCCAGCGGTAGTCAGTCTGAGGGGCATCATTCCACATGGCGGCTGCTCAAAACCACACACACCTGTGGCCTTGAAATAAGCCACTAGTCACGTGATACGTTGCGGTTATGAAAGCTAGTGTATAAAGCTCGCGCCTAACCATACTCGGCCATCGGTCGTTCTTCGCATCCGAGGAAGAAGTCGCGATCGAAGAAGCGAGGCTTGTTGCAGCGAGAGAACGAATTCGATGGCGCCGAGCAGATCCGGAAACGTGGCACGGTTCTGGAGTTCCGTACCGTAACACCCGTGTAGCGTCGGCAACAAGGCGCGACCGAAGACAGCGAACACACTCAAATCATGCCAGACGAGAACTGCTTTGTCCCGGTGACAGTCGTGTTTATATACGTCAGAGGTGGCGCCATCCCTATGAATGACAGCCCAGCATAACTACAGCCACCTAGTGTCGACTTTTGACACCACAATCTGTACCACGACTACAAACGTAGCCAAAGCCAAGCAACAAGCTAGCAGCAACTAGATTAAACTTCATAATTGTCCACTTCAACTGTTTCAAGCCTTGCGCGACCGAGTGGAAGCTTCGTTATTCTTTGGTGCACACAGGGATAGCTTGGTAGCTTGAACACGCTGTCTCGCTATTCGCAAGCCTATATGTATACATACATGCTGGGGTGTGAGTGAGTAAATAGGCCAACGGGATCCGGCCACAGATATAAGCCAAGAGACCATGTCTCCCTCCTGTACCCTCCCTGTCCTGCTGGACTACGCATCTTTAGTCTTCGTCCTCAGAACTGAGCAGAGAGAGAGAAATATAAAGATGCAAGGAAAGGGAGGGAGGTTAACCAAACGCACGTCCGGTTTGCTACCCTGCACTGGGAAGGGATGAAGGGAGAAAAGAGGCTGCAGAGAGGTAAAAAGAACTGAGCAGCGTTAACCGCGGAAGCTCCGGGATGGCTTCCGGATAAGTCGTCAAAGAAAGAAAGAAAGAAAGAAAGAAAGAAAGAAAGAAAGAAAGAAAGAAAGAAAGAAAGAAAGAAAAGAAAGAAAGAGAAACGGGCGAGATGATGTTCAAACGTATTGTAGCTCGGGCGAGTGTGTCCTCCATGAACTTAGCTTGTATTAGCGCGGTACATGTAAAAAGGAAAGACGACACAGACACAAAGAAAGGTAGGCGCTAAACTTTCAACTGTTCATTTCATGCCATATTCACAATCATCTCATACATGCGCAAAATAAACCAACTCATCTTGCGCGTCATCTCATTCCAAGATACGTCATTTCCTTTTCGGTCTGGCTTTCTTTAAGTCTGTGTCGTCCTTTCCTATGTACCGCGCTAATACGGTAATGTCTGGCGTTTAACGTCCCGAAACCTCGATATGATTATGAGAGACGCCGTAGTGGAGGGCTCCGGAGATTTTGACTACCTGTGGTTCTACAACGTGCACCCCAATCTGAGCACACGGGCCTAGAGCATTTTCGCCTCCTTCGGAAATGCAGCCGCCACAGCCGGGATTTAATTCCGCGACCTGCGGGTCTGCAGCCGAGTACCTTAGCCACTAGACCGCCGCGGCGGGGAATACAAGCCAAGTTCATGGGCGAGATTACTCATTTGCAAAGAAGGACCAGAAGGAGGTGGAGGAGGAGACTACACATGCACTACTTGCATTGAAGGGGCTTCTGGACGAAGTGTAGGCGCTGTAGTCCGTTCCCAGCGCCAGCTTGCACTGGGCGTCCGCCGGGAACAGCTGACCGGGCAGAGGCTCTCCGTCCAACTCGGCCACTGGCTGGCTGGTGCGAGACGCCAAACACGTCGACGTCCGGCTCCTGCGGACCCCGCGTGGCTACACTGTGTCACCCTTGTAAAATAGCGCAAGAAACAACAACGCAAGGGCACAGGAAGAAGACAAAGCGGACGCTGACGTTTAAGCGACGTTTATTTTTTCGTAAAGAGAACATATATACATGAAAATAACTGGTCATGTGCAATGACTCCGTCCAACAACACAAAAACTATACAGCTGGCGTCAGGGCTGTGAAAAAAGAGGCGAAATTACTCATTAATTTTATGCCGTTTTTGTGTTGTTGGAGGGAGTCATTGCGCATGACCAGTTATTTTCATGTATATATGTTCTCTTTACGAAAACAATAAACGTCAGTGTATTTTCAGTACCCACGATCTCGGCTTTCTGTACTACTCCAGCTCTGTCAAAGCCGCTATATACAAGGCCACACTATACGATACTGAAGTTGAGGAACACGGTGCAAGAAAAGATGAATAATAATTTCTGGGGTTTTATGAGCCGAAACTACGACTTGACAGCGAAGTACGCCATTGCGGAGAGTTCCCGCAATTTCCACCACCTGGCGCTATTTATACGGTGCACCTAAATCCGGTGTACGCCTTTAAACTACTCACGACCGCCTTGGATGGGACCGAACCCGTACCTTTCGTGTCAGCAGCCGAGCGCCGTAACCAATACAGCACCACGGCGGCTGCACAAGTAAAGATAGATCGATCAGTCGAACTACTCATTAATTAATTACGCATTAATTGACTGCTCTATCACACACGCCGAGCTCCATAGCGGCGGACATATGATAGAGTTTCATCACCCGGGGCTCTCAAACGTGCGTTCATACGAATGTACACGTACAGTGTCAATTTTTATGAAAGGGAACGCGGGGACGCGTGGCCAGCGCGCTCCCGCGGCTGCTAGCAGCGCGTTTAAGCGGGAGCGAGAACAACCACAGTCTTTTTTTTTTCGCGCCATCTAGCGGCGACCAAAACAACCATTCGTTGCTGATATGGAACCAGCGGCACGATTGCGTCCCCTCCCCCTTCAAGGCGATTACGCGAGAGCCGGTAATCGCCTTGAAGGAGGGGCTGCAATCTTGCCGTTCTACTGCAGCAACGAATGGTAGTTTTGGTTGCCGCTAGATGGCGCGAAAAAAAAAGACTGTGGTTGTTCTCGCTTCCACTTGAACGCGCTGCTAGCAGCCGCTGGAGCGCGCTGGCCACGCGTCCCCGCATTCCCTTCCATAAAAATTGACACTGTACATGTACAGTCGTCAGCAATATTAACAGGAACGCTCCGCAGCGTGTCCTGAAACAGTTTGATAGACGCCAGCACCGCGTAGCTTTGGGTTCTGTAGCCGCGGTGTTACCGATGCATGTTGACAGTATCCAAGTGTACCAGGGTATCGTCTCGGCAAGAACACCCAGCGCTTCGCAGCTGGCATCAGTCAAACTACACCAGGTCACGCGTCGGGGCGTTAGTGTTAAGCTCGCCGACGACTGCACGTTAGCGACTTGGCACTCCGCCTCGGTCGGAATGCGGGATGGAACGTACAAAAGCGAACGAGGCAGCCAAAACTATGCGAATAGTACGTATACACACCACTGATAAACTAGATCGCCGTCATCTGTTTACAAATAGACAGTGCGCTATAGAAAACACACGGCTGCTCACGAGAGGAAGTCCTCGAGGTACTGGCCCGAGCAGCTGGACCAGCCGGTCTTGCCGGCGCCCGTCTTGGCCGACATGATGAAGCGGTCCGGGTCGCAGCGGTTGTCCGGCGGCCCGTCGTGGTGCATGCCCAGCGAGTGGCCCAGCTCGTGGGCCACCACCAGCGCCGCCTCGAGGCTGCGCGCCTCGCTCAGGGTGCAGCTGTAGCGGCACCGACACATGCCGTTCACCCACGCCAGGCCCAGCACGCGGCTGTTGTTGCCCTGCCGCCGCAACACGTTGCACACCTTAGCACTTTGCTAACAAAGAAAATCTGCGAGGTGCCATTAGCGTCTTCGCATTTACCTTTAAGCTTACACGTTCCATTGAGTACGAAACGCAGACAGAGCCACGATGACCAGAAATAGAGAACGAAATAAATACTACGACGCCGTGTTTTCACGACGCTCACGGCGTGCCGTCCAGTAATGGTTCAATAGAATCTAGTGCACGCAGACGAGTACTCAAAGAAACACGTACGGGTTCTCCGAAGGTAAAACATGAGCACGCAAGCGGTGGCCAAGCTACTCAAAAGTGAACGCCGGCGCACTCTACCAGAGACGTGATCGTTTATTTTAATGCGGAAATGACCGAAATATCTCCTGGAAGGTGTCCGTACAAAAATAAGTAACCACTTCTCTGATCGAGCGCGCTGGCAGTCACATTTGCGTAGCTTGGCCACAGCTCGCGCTCATATATATAGAACCTGCACGTCATGAACGACGAGTTTAGATTGTCGTGTAATTTTTTTTTTCATATTCGTGTCAACCACGTGTACAGTGCATTTAACTGATACAACAATAATGATCGTTGGGGTTTCGAGGCCCCAAACCAGGATGTTGCCCCACCTCCTCCTCGGTTACGCTACTGGTTCCATGCCCTGAACTAGACACATATGGTCGACCTAGTTCCTGCTGATATTTTGACTTTTTCAAGCACTTAACAACATAGAGTTCCCCACCATATTTACTAGAGGGAACTCTGGCGCTAGTGTCTATGGGAGTTGCAACACACGGCGCTTCAGCGAGCATGGGAATGATGGGTAGTACACACATTTGTCTTAATTTTCGTACTTCTGGCCTGCTTCTGGCTCCGTGTGTGTTCGTGTGGCTTGGAGCTGTTTTTTCACGAAAACATAAATTATCAAATGTTCACCGTTTGCGCTTCACAGCCTTATTTTTTTAGGCTTACCATTTCGAATCAAGTCCCTCAGTTCAAAAGGGTTCGTTTTTTCTTTCAAAACAAAACCGTAACCAGTAATAAACGAAGCCGCAAGTACGAAGACTAGGCAAATGTGTCTACTACCCATCATTCCCATGGTCGCTGAACGATCGCAGCGCCAGAGTGCCCTCTAGTTAATTTTGGGAAACTCTATGCTTAACAATGACCATGACCATGAACAAAAAAAAAACTCGTCGACATGCCAACGAAAGAACTCATAGGAGCTTGCGTCTTATAATACGAATAACAGAGCTCTCGTCGCGGTTAACGTGCGTGACGTATGCGCATCTGGCACGCCTGACACATATGCAAGAACGCACCTTGACGAGGTCGAGACCCGAGAGCATGAGCGCGTGGTCCCAGCGTCCCAGCCCCTGCCTCGCCGCCAGCTGGTTGCGGTTGCACTGCCACACGCAGAAGTTGTCCAGGTAGGCGTCGATGTCACCGCCGCCGGTGCTGGGACCGCGCTGCAGTGGACGATAGCAGGACCGCGCCATGGGGTTACACGCGTCACATAACGCCCGAAAAATCAAGTTAAGGTCGCCACGTCAGCAGACAGGCCAGATCCGTGCCCGCCCAACGCAGTTTATAGGGCCTGCTCGCATTTCTAAGCAAGACGGGTTTAGATTCCCGTCTTTAGATAATCTGCTGAGGTAGAGACTTTTGTGCGTGTACTACACCGAACGAGACATTGTGTGTGCGGTGACTCATTGTTCTATACCACAATCCCTCCTCATCATACCCTTTTCTTTCTTTCCCTTTTCCCCTTACCCTTGTGAGCAGTAGCAGGCCAGAAACCCGCTTTCAAGGTCTTCTTCTTCTTTCTTCTTTTTTCTTCTTTTTTCTTTCTTCTTCTTCTTCTTCTTCTTCTTCTTCTTCTTCTTCTTCTTCTTCTTCTTCTTCTTCTTCTTCTTGTTCTTCTTGTTCTTCTTCTTCTTCTTCTTCTTCTTCTTGTTCTTCTTCTTCTTCTTCTTCTTCTTCTTCTTCTTCTTGTTCTTCTTCTTCTTCTTCTTGTTCTTCTTCTTCTTCTTGTTCTTCTTCTTCTTGTTCTTGTTCTTGTTCTTCTTCTTCTTCTTCTTCTTCTTCTTCTTCTTCTTCTTCTTCTTCTTCTTCTTCTTCTTCTTCTTCTTCTTCTTCTTCTTCTTCTTCTTCTTCCACGTAGAAGTTGTAAGTTGAACTTTCCTGCTACCCCGCCCGAACGCTTCACACGCCTGTAACGTCATGTTTGTTTACATACCTCTTTTGCCTGTCGACCTGCTTGACGGTGTTTTTTCTTTTTTTTTTGCTTTACTGAGAAGCGACGTGCGCACCTGCAGGTTCAGGGCGGGGCCAAACTACCTCCCATTTTATCCTCTCTCTTTCCCTTCTCACCTTTATTCCACTCCCCATCCTTGTGCAGCACTGCTGAGGTGGCCTCCACCGAGACCGTTAGGTCACTGCACTTTTTTTTTTCTTAATTTTTCTCTCTTTGAAAGTCACTCCTTTGAAACTACTGCGCGCGGGTACAGCGGCACGGCTGCGAAACGATGAACGAAGTCATTGACGGCGCTCCCAATGGCGCGCGCGTTCGGGTGCGACGTAGAGGATGACGTAACTGACGGAGCAAGCCAATAGAGACCGTAATCGCTCCACGTGGCGAACGGTTTTTCATTTCGCCTACCATATACAGCTTTCGCTGTAAAAACAAGTATATAAAGAAAGTTCGGGGGTTTACCAAACGCAGGACCGGTTTGCTACCCTGCTCTGGGGAAAGTGATAAGAAGGATACAAACAGATAAGAAAGAACAGCGCCACGCTACAGAGATCACATCAAGTATGGAGGCGGCAGCAAACATACAAGCATGGTTGCTACGTACAAGTTCGTAGACATCTGGAAAAATGCCTATTTCTGAGGCACACTTACATATATTTGACTCTTTTTTTGCACATAGTAGTGATTCCAATGACACGTTCACATGAAAAAATACGGGACAAGCGCTAAAGCTCTTGTCATTTGCGCTTGTCCGTGGTACCCTTCCTTGTGAGCATGTCCTTCCTTCGCGCAAAATTTCCCTTTCAAGCATTTTTAACACACTACGCCAACAATGAGCTGTACTTCTATTATTTATCCCAAGCTTTATATCGTAAAGTTCTTCCCGCCAAGCACATCCCGTGCCCGCTTACCTTGGAGTCGACGAGTTCGAGAGTGACGATCTCCAGTTTGAGCGGCCTTCCCAGTGATCGGTACTCCAGAATCAGTTGGACCTGCAACGAAATGGCGACAGGAACTACGAATTTCAAGAGCGGCTGTTTTATCTATCTATCTATCTATCTATCTATCTATCTATCTATCTATCTATCTATCTATCTATCTATCTATCTATCTATCTATCTATCTATCTATCTGTCTGTCTGTCTGTCTGTCTGTCTGTCTGTCTGTCTGTCTATCTATCTATCTATCTATCTATCTATCTATCTATCTATCTATCTATCTATCTATCTATCTATCTATCTATCTATCTATCTATATATCTATCTGTCTGTCTGTCTGTCTGTCTGTCTGTCTGTCTGTCTGTCTGTCTGTCTATCTATCTATCTATCTATCTATCTATCTATCTATCTATCTATCTATCTATCTATCTATCTATCTATCTATCTATCTGTCTGTCTGTCTGTCTGTCTGTCTGTCTGTCTGTCTGTCTATCTATCTATCTATCTATCTATCTATCTATCTATCTATCTACCTACTTATCTGCCTGTCTGTCGCAGTACCGATTTGCTACCCTGCTCTAGGGGAAGAGATAAAGGGGCGAAAAGGAAGATACAGAGACATAAGAGAGTCTGTCTGTCTTAATGTTGATTATGCTACATTCAATATACCATGTTGATGCTGCAAAACATGCGTACGCTAACGTAATCAGACGTGAATGGAATGCAGATACAATGTGGATTCGCAGGATGCATCCATGCATGACCTACGCAGTAACCGTGCGAGAGCCTGCTATGCGTCGCTGTGTACTACACGCAGGAAGTGTCGGTAACGGCACCGTCGTCTCTGCTTCGACTACACGTGTGGCTGAATACATGCCCTCCCAACAGGAAAACAGTTTGTACAAACAAGACGGTTTCTCTGTTTGTAAACAAACTGGCGTGCGCCGAACGGCCTACCCCAGAAGACTTCCGGTGCGGCACTTCCTGTAATGATTTTTCAGTAGTACCGGTGGTGTTTGCCTGATGTGTTTGAGTTTGTTGGGTCCATTATTTTTTCCGCATATATTGGTATAAACTAGATGGTCAATTCATATGAATAATGCACACAGCGTACGTATAGACATACGATTCACGAAAAAAACAAACAAGCTAAGCCCAATCGTACTATCCATACATACTGTTAAATATTGTGTACGTACTGGTACTGCTGCGGGTCGGATCAGCGGAATATGCAATACTATAGCATACCTGTTCGAGGATAGCCGTGAGCTTGGTCTGCAGGGCTCGTTCCGTGGCCATGGCGTTGTTTAGCGCTGCATCGACGAATACCGCAAGCTCAATGGCACGCTCCCTCGACGACACCACCGCTTTCGTCTTCGCGGCCCTGCCAGAGGAACGGGTGCATCATCATCACCATCATCGCAACCACCACCGCCTCCGCCACCACGTCACTCACGTCACATGCGCATGCACGTCACGCATGTAATTGACGAGCCATTCTCATCCTCCTCCACTGACGCCAACGTTGAAGTCTCCCGCGATTATAACAGGCGCGCGTCGACACGCCTCGCAGCAATCAGCCAGCGTCTCCTCCAGACAGCGCTGAACTTGTCCTTTTGGCAGGTTAGGAGCGAGGTACAGCGCCAGGATCGCGACGTCACCGACGCGCACGGCAACGCACTCGGAGCAGGAGCGTCTTCGAGAGGTTCCGAATCGAATCGTTCTTCCGGGTCGCCTCCAGATCGGCAGGCGGAACCCGGCGCTTGCGGGCGGGCGCTTCGACGGAGGGTGCACGGCGCTTTCGAGACGTTGCCAACGACGGGGACGCCGATGATTCAGCGGCGTTGGCTATCCGCTGTCGGCGCTTCCGCTCGGTTTCCTTGGCTCGCGTCTCGTCGGTGTTGCCGACGCGTTGAAGACGCTTGCGGTCGGCTTTTTTGGCTCGCGTCTCGTCGGTGTTACCCGCGCACCATCTGCATTCTCAAACGCGATCAGCGTGTTTGACTCGCACCTCGTCGGTGTGTTGGTCTTCCACTGCCATTCGACTTCCCTGATTCGCGCCTCGTCGATGTTGCAGGCGCGACGTCACCATTCGCGAAAGCGATCGGCTCGGCTAACTCTCGCACCGCCGGCGACGGCTGGGTTAGGCCAAATCACTTCGGCACACGTTTCGGCGGGCGAAGGAGTTTCGCTTTCCGGCGTCCTCTCTATCGAAGATAAACGAACCGAAAGAGTGTTCACTAGATCTGCGCTCGAACGTTGCGAGCGGTGAGAAGGGTAAAGCGAGAGAGAGAGATGACAATTGAGTGGCGAGCGCGCGAAAGACGAGGGAGAGGGTGACGTCACCGCGCACTGCTTGGTACCGCCCCAGCACCTGCGGCGAGGGGAGCGCGGCGCAGCGCGTTGGCACGGAGACACGGACGAACAGCGTTACACAGGCTAGTCAAAGAGCTCCTTTGCATCTAATACAGTTATGAAACGTCAGTCCACTAAGTCTATATTAAGAGATTGTGCTATTTCCATCCAAATATTATGTACAAGTGGTGACTTGGGGATGTAAACACAATTTGATACAAATGTTGTCTGAACCGGAATAAGTGCTTTAGACAGGATGGCTGAAGTTTCGGTCGGTGAACTTATCTTCGTTAAAGGCGCCTCATTACTTTTGGCGTATTATTCAAGAAAGACGCCAAGAATGATGAGGCGCCTTTGACTAAAACATTCGTTGACCGAACGAAACGTCGGCTACCTACCTAAGGCACTTATTCCTATTCAGATAAGCTGTATACCACATTCGAATGACGCCAGCACATGAAGTACACGTTCTAAAGGTAACCCCACACGCCCTCAACACTAAACCGCATGCAGTGTATGGTCGTAGTTATAACACGAAACAAACGAGCCAAACGCAGGTCGTACCTGCGTCTCCTGCTGGACAGCTTGCTCCACGAAGTGAGGAACTTTGACTTGGGGGATTCGCGGCGCACCAAGTGTCCAGCAACGACATCGATTTCGTCACCCGCGTCACCGACTCTTTGAGCGACGGGCGCCACAGAAAAAGCTTCGCCCTTGGCTGTGAGTATGAAGGCGTGGACCCGCTTGTCACCGGGACACCCAGTCACCACGGCTCGACCCGTGGTACCGACCCCTTGCTCGTAGACTCTGCCTTCGTACGTGCAGTTCACCACCGACGCCGCACCACCGGGGAATAATGACTCGAGTGCCGCACGTCTGCGGCGAAGGGGCACGTACAGCCGACGGCCTCCGACGTGTACCGACAAGACGTCTGGCTCGAAGAACACCTGTACTTGCTCTTCAGCGCTCACATCACCAACCTGGAGATACGTGAGTGGGAAGTAAATGTGAATTTCAAGACGCGATGGGAACATCATTATCCACATGATTCTGACGTAATACACGTTTAGCACCAGCAAATCCCTTGAAAGTTTTATATCTAAAACAATCTTTGGAGTTTAAGTGTCAAAACTACAATATGATGATGAGGAACCCCGTAGTAGAGGGCTCCAGAAGTTTGGACCACTTGGAGTTCAATGCGCATCTAAATTTAAGCACAGAGGCCTCCATAGCATTTTGCTTCTATGATAATGCAGCCTCCCCAGCCGGGATTCGATCCGGCGACCTTCGGGTCAACAGTCAAGAGCCATAGCCACCAGATGACGGCGACACGACTACGGAACCTCTGCATGTAACAGGCATCACTAATAATGTTATCAAGAGCCATGAAGTTTGCAATAGTTTGCAGAATAATGGAACTCGTTAAAATTACGTCCGTCAGAAATTTTACTGATTATAATTACCAAATGATGTCTTAGCGAAACTGACTGATTCATTAAAAAGTTTAATTCATTACCGTTGCGTTACCTTTTCTTCGCCATTTTCATGTGACAAGCTTTTTTTTTTTTGCCTACTCACACCAGAAAGGTCATGTCTGGCATGATCTTGCTTCAAGTGGAGGGGTGAAATCCTTAGCAAAAACATTTAGTAAAACACCGTAGTTTGATAAGGCCGCGCATTGCATACAAGGGACCACGCGCACGAAAGAGTCGAGTCTCGAAACTACTAGGCTACGGGCACAGGTCCTTCATCAACCATTGACCCCAAAATAACATACTCGAGACGCGCGTGAAGTTCAATTCTCCTGCATACATTGCTACATCGATCCGGTCCTGCATTGATGATGAACGTATACCCCAGAACTTATCTTAATGCAATTTTTAAGTAAGAGTCAGTGTTCATCTCAGTTGGCATGCACTTCGCGATGTCACCAACTTATGTTGCACCTCGTTAATCTGAGTACCGGTATCCATCAAAGACCGTCATAGCTAACGTATGTAGTGAGAATACGGGACCGAATACTTATGAATCTATGGCAGGGGTTTGAAACACGTGGGCCATGTACCTGCCTGCACGTGACTGGATGTGCACGAACTGCAAAGGTCTGACTGGCCTTAAGCTTCGTTTTTCTTTCGTCAGGCACCAAGCCGTCACCATTAGTTGAAGCATAACCATGGAGCAAAAACTCCATAATTCGGAACTACGTCCAGATTTCAGTCACTCTGGAGATCCATCCTGATATGTCTGGCGAATCCTGACGTCAAATAGCTTTCAAATATGACCCATAATCATGATATAGGAAACACTTTGTTTTAACTGGCAACGCTATAGCTGTCAAGTTATTCGAAGCCCCCTCCCCGTCCATCCCCTCACTCAAATCATTTTCACGGTCCCATCCTTTGCAGGAGTCTAAATTTCGTGAGTTCGGCCCACTAGCTGACGTTAGCTTTTCAACCCTGGTCTATGTCCACTGCTTTCGGCGGAGACGGTATCAGTCCTGCAGACTCTGACGGTCGCCCCAGCCGTACAAGGCGGGCAAGTCCGTTGCTGGAAATGCAAACTACACGGCTAAAAATTGGAAGCCGGTCTTAGGCATGAAGGATGACGAACTAAGGTTCACAAAGCCTATCAGGCCCTGACTGCTTTGTCACCGGGCTTAATGTAACAGCGTAAGGTTTCTTCCGGAAATTTGGGGAATTTTATGAAGACGTCCAAATCGAGCGAGGCGAGCAAGTACAGTACTTGAAGTACGCTCGTAAAGAAAGTTGCATATTTCAGACGGAAAGTATACAAATTTGCTTACGTATACGCTTGGGAGATGGAGCTGTACTATACATATACGTAAAGGACAATCTGAACGTCATACATTTTACGTACATAGCCTCATAAGGTATACGCGTTTTTCATGCGGCTTTTGGCTGAAGTGCTTCAATAGCACCCACTGCTCATTATTACGTGCTAATGCCATCTCGAAACGTCACAGGTCATGTGGATGAGGGTGGAAATTTGGGCTTGTTGGTATGGTAGCATGATAACACATGGTAGCGCAGACAAAGAACACGGACAAGAAAAAGCATATGCAAACATTGGGTTGTCTTGAATGTGCCTTCTCTTGTCCGTGTCTTTTGCCTGCGCTACCATATATTAAGGTCATGTGGCCCTCTTAGGTTAATTGAAGAGGACGAAACTGGTATAATTTGCAACTTCCCGCATGCATCTCGTAGTAATTGAAGATATTTTATCATAATATAATATAGCATTGCGAAAAAAAAGCGAAACTGACGTCCAATGCATTTAGATTCCCTCAATATATGGCAAAAATGGAACGGAAAGCAAATGCCGCTACTTGGAAGGCACGTACGTATGTGCGGAAAATTATCAGGAGAAATATTCTTCACGAACTACATACTGCGTGCACTAAACATTATGACTACGAAGTCTTAAAGTCGGAAAGAAGGTGTCGTTTTTTTCACGTTCCCAGTCCAAAATATTGACGATTGACGAGGTCAACAGAAAGATGAAGTTCTGAAAGTTTGCGTAGCACTGCCGTTACATTGTTCTGAAAAGCAGACCATCACTATAACTTACCACCGCGGGCACGCCAAATCATAACTTGTTCATAAACGTATGGACGAGTTTATCGAGTTTTGTAACCACACCGTGTAATAGGACAATAAAGTCGAAGTCCTCTAATCGCGCCGTAAATCTCCTTGCTCCAACGCCATGCTGCCCTGTCACGCGCTATATCATCAGAACGCCTCACCCGGTCACACCAGAGAGGACGTGAAGCTCCTTAGTAACTGCAGTTTAAAACTTCAAGCATCCGGTTAGTTCGATCGCGTGTCGAAGCAAAACTCGAACACCTCCCAAAGTGCAATGCAGGAGAGAGGCAGAGTTCAGCCATGAAAATTTCGAACCTGACGCTATAGCTGGACATCACGTTCCTCAAGAGGAAAGATGTGTCTTCATTTCTTCAGTTCCTTAGCGGGACTTGTAAGTCGCGGTCTCACCTGGGCAAAGCACGAGCCGACCTGAAGAAACAGTAGAAGAAGCGTCACACCAACGGCCAGCGACGTTGGCATTACGGTACTGCGCGGCAGGCGAGCGGCGACGGGCCGCTGCAGCACGCCGCATACGTCGCCGGCGGCCATCCTGTTTTCAAATGGCGCTCGCGGCCCTGGGGTCCTTGGATTCACAAACGGCTGCCTGCTCGGGCGTGACGGTCTCTTCCGGAGACCATCCACTTCGCGCTTGACGCCGCGGACGCTTAGTTGTCGGAACCTCCGGGAGCGCGCGCGCAGCGGGCACGTCACAGTCTTGCCGACAGAGACAACAAGACCTGGCCGCGTCCCGTCACCGACGCCGGCGACACTGATGTAGCCTTGGCCCTGAATACCAACGGGAGCTCGCTACATGCCGCGATGAGATATACATATACGCGCTACAGCTGACTCACGGGAACACGCATGTGGGAGGTGCACAGCGCGACTCCGCGACACAGTGCACGGCCAGGTACGAAGTTGTCACCACCGGAAAGGAGTTGGTAGACTTTCAAGCCCATACCGCGCGTACCCAGTAACCTACTGTCGGGAATCCTTTCGTCGAAACGCGTGTTTGCAGAACTTTGACGGGCGACTTGCTGACATTAGGGTTACCGTAAAGTTTTTCCACGTGAGTTTTTTTCCGCTTGACACAGCAGCATCCAGTCGTGACTGGCATGTATAGATGCGACTTCGGAGATCACGACGAAACTCTTACTAGCCGACTTTATCTAACGAAATTTCCCGTCACGTCCCTACCATAGTATAACGGGAAAAAAACGAGTTGCTAGCTCGCTTACGAAACCCATGTCCACATCATAATGGTTCACGACCTTTTTGACGGCAACGCATTTCGCTGTTGCGGCCTCAGTTCGGTCGTCGTCAACATCACTCTATAGGTCGCCGTGAAACCAGCAATATGTATGTATGCACAGTCTAAAACCTGGACTGCAGAGCTGGAAACACTGATTTAACGATTATATTCATAGAAAATTTGAATAGCTAGTATTAATTACACTGCCGTGACGTCAGGCTATGTATGCTGCTCAGCGCTTGCCAAGAGGACCAACTCAGGGCAGTATACGGCTGGCTGAAGACGTCGTCAGGACTCGAGGCTCGCCTCCACGTTACAAAAAAAGGAGCTGTCCCTCCCCCCTCCCTTGAACCTAGTAAAGACATACGGTAATGTTTCGTGTGTGCCTCTGGTAACATCGTAAGCTTATAACGCCAGGCTGCTGTGGATCCACACAAAACATACGAAGCAAAATTCGCAGGTCTGATTTAACTTCGCCATTGATTCGCCTCGCCCAGCGGTCTTCGTCTGTGAACCGTGGAATGATACAGTATGAGCCGGGACATGGTTTGGGACAAAAGTAGAGGAAGAGGAAGTTAGTTCGTTCGGCATATGTTCGCCATCATCGCCAATCATCGCCTGATCTCGCCTGTAAATAAACATAGTTAGGCTCAATCCTACCGTAACAATATTTTTACGAGCCTCGCGTTAAAATATTGCACGTAATATGAATTAAATTGAGGTCTCAATACTTTTGCTGAGTACGCGAGCTTGGACAAGTTGGTCGAGCTTATAACAGTCCCGTGAGCATCAATACTATGTATATCCTGATGTTACTATAGAGATTGACTCGCCATGATGAAATATATAGAATTTGAACATAATTCAGTGACAATAGCATTAAAGAAACGCTAGTCCATCGAGGAACGCACAGCACAGTCTCAGTGAAAGCAGCTGCAGCAGCCATCTTTCTAGAGCTATATCTGTAAACACTTTTAGAGCGACCACTGCAACTGTAGTCACGACGTACTCATTACTCTTCAAATCATCATAATTTTGGAAAGTGGTGAAATACCTACTAAGTCATTATTCAGTATACTGCGGAAAAGCGAGGTACCCACTTCATGTACACTTTGTTGATACGCTGCACAGGCCTGCCCTGCCCTGCCCTGCTTGCCCTGCCCTGCCCTACCCTGCCGCGCCAGCCAGCCAGGCAGGCCTACCTGGCCTGCCTGTCTTCATACGTCATTCATATACACTCATACGCACTCTTATCACTCGGAAAGCTATACCAACGCGATAGCGTTAAAGAGCTCGTTTCGCACAAACTCTGGCGTCGGTGTCAGCGTCGTTGGTCATGAGCAAATAATTATCATCTTTGCATGTCCAAAATATCGAGAAAGACATTCCCGATCCTCCTATGTAGGAATCGGTATAACACCAAAGTGAAACGTCTCTTTACAGAGGTAGTTAAGCGTTAATCGTGCATTGTTTCAGCAACAGCAACAAACTGCAAAGTCACGTTACGAACGGCAAGCAACTCAAAACTTGTAGCGCATACTTCAAGCAGAAAGCACGCACGGAATCAACAAACACAGGTCGAGCGAAGGCTAACAACTCTCACAATTCTTCCCGCGTCGTGTGTCAGCAGCACGCTCCTTTCGCGAACGCGGCCACGGCAGCTTGCGAAATGACCCTCGTCCTATCCCGAATTGCGAGTCCGATAAGCGCACGCGCAGAAGAGACAGCGCTCCGTGAAACCGTGGGGGCAGCGCTTTGCGGAGGCGGCGACCGTGAGAACACGTCAAACGTGAGACCATCACGCCGTCTCGCCACTGATAACGAAATCGCGCTAAGGTTTCGAAACTCTGAGGACTGTCAAACGGTGTATGGTGTTAGAAATGGCTTGCCGTTGACACTCCAGACAACGCACACCTTGTGGCGTAGTGGTGGGCGCTGCGCACTGAGAATCGAAAAGTTTTTGATTCGATTCCGCGCGACAGATGTTTGCCTTCTGATTTTGGATGCGAAGCAGCTCTTTGACTAGCCTGTATAACACTGTCCCTCCGTCCACGCCGCACTCCACTGGCCGCAGGTGTTGGAGCGGTGCCATGTAGGTCACGCCTTCCCACGCAGTGCGCGCGCGTTGACGTCACTCTCTCTATATCTTTCTCCCGCAGCAGCTGCCGGCCCCTCCACCCGCTCGCAACAGGCGCTGAGCCATGCTCCCAATCAGGGATGCGGAAGTTGCGTCTTTTCATTCCCTTAACCTCTCTTTCTCTATTTATTTCTCGCTCGCAACACATTTCTCTCTCGCTTCACTCTCTCCACCACCCGCAACACTCGACCGCACGTCGAGTGTGAACACTCTTTCAGCTTGTTTAGCTGCGATGGAGAGAGAGAGAGAGAGATAAAGATACAAGGAAAGGCAGGGAGGTTAACCAGACGCACATCCGGTTTGCTACCCTGCACTGGGGAAGGGATAAAGGGGAGAAAAGAGGTTGCACAAAGATGAGAAGGTACACACAATCACGAGCACACTCGGTGAGCACACACAGTTCACAGGCGGTCGCTCAGGTTTGTTGACTTAAGGTAAAGAAGCAGTGCTTTAGTTGCTTTCTGCGCAACTGAGGCAGATGCCCAAGGTCCTAGTATCTTCCGCACACAAAATGGTCCGGGGTCAAGTCGATTCAAAACCATCCGTAGCTGGCATCGCTGTGTGTCGTAGCAAGCGCAGCTGCAGAGGACGTGTTCGATGGTTTCTTCATCTCCGCAGTAGTCGCATGTAGGAGTGTCTGCCATACCAATGCGAAAGGAGTACACCTTTGTGAATGCAACACCCAACCAAAGGCGGCATAACAGTGTCGCATCGGAGCGGGAAAGTTGTGATGGTAGCTTTAGCTTTAGCGAAGGATCCAGTTCATAAAATTGACACCTTTGGAAGCTGGTAGACGACCAGAACGTCCGTGTGAGATCTCGAGGTAAAGGTAAAGTTGTCTTGCTGCATCATTCCTTGATAGAGGAATCGGGACTACACGGGTTTCTTCATGAGCTGAGCGGGCTGCATAGCTGCGATGGAACTTACAAGAAACCCAACCCGCCTCCCGCGTCGTTGCGTCTCAAACAAACGTTTACTCGAGTAAACGCGACACCGAGTTTCGCTTCGAACCGTTCTTCTAGAACCCGCGTCGACGCCTGTTTCAGCCAGGTCGACGCCGTGCGCACCACTGCTGCTTTGCATCCCACCTGGGTTCCCTTCGGGGAGAAAGAGAGAATTAACTTTATTAAAGGTCCTGAAGGGGACTGGGCACCCCTTGCGGGGGCCAGCCCGGAGGCTCCGCCCATGTGGGGACTGGGAGTCGGAGCTCGCCAGCCACCTTTTGGGCCTTCTGGACGGCCTGGTGTTGAAGGGCCCTGTCGGGGCCCCTGAGGTGGTTGATCCAGTCGTCCTCGGTGGCAGGGGACCCGAAGCTAGCGTTTAGCACGGGACACTGCCACAGCATGTGACTTAAACCGCACCTTGAATTTTGCCATTTGGGGCATTCTGGCCTTATATCTGGTAGGTATTTGATGCAGATATAGGGGCTGGGGTAACTGTGCGTTTGCAGCAGTCAAAGCGTTAATTATTGTGCTTTATTTAGTGCTGAGTGAAGAGAGGGGAATTCCTTTCTAAATGAATTATAGTGCGCGCAAATTTCGTGATATGATAGGAGTGGCTCCCGGTGCGTGTTGGTGTCCCCGGCCAGTGAGCCGGACCGCGACCCCCCGCGGCACGTAAGATCACGCTCGAGGTTATGGGCCAGCTCATTACCGTTGGGGACCCCTGGTTGAACGTTGATCCCTTCATGACCAGAGAACCAGTGGATGTGCTTGTCTACAGTTATTTGAACAGATGCTAGAACTCTTAATGCCGCCTGGCAAAGTGTACCGCGACAGTATGCCAGTGCAGCGGGTTTAGAGTCGGTAAATATTGTGTCGCGCTGAGCAAGGGCAATGGCCACTTCTTCAGCCTCGCAGGCTTTCTGTGTTTTTACGGTAAGAGCATTAACAGCTTTTCCATCTGGGGCGACAGCCACAGCTGCAAAGTAGGGTTTGTCCACGTATTTAGCGGCGTCTACGAAAACCACGTCTCTCACGTGTAGGTTGGCCACTTTTAGTAAGTATTGAGCTCGTGCCCTCTTTCGAGTCTGATTGCGCACTGGGTGCATGTTCCTGGGGAAGGGTAGCACTGTGATTTTAGCGTGAAGGTGTTGCAGTAACGGTTCTGGTTCGTTGACTTGAGTTGGGATAGGAAGACCTATGTGTGAGAGGAGTTCCT